CCGATAAACTTGCTTTGTTGTATGTGAATGAGATTGTTAGACTTCATGGAGTGCTGATGTCAATTGTGTCGGACCGAGATCCGAAGTTGGTTTCCAGATTTTGGCAGAGCCTACAAAGAGCTTTCGGAGCCGAGTTGAGGTTTAGCACAGCTTTCCATCCCCAGACTGATGGGCAAACAGAGAGGACGATTCAGACACTTGAAGATATTCTTAGACTATGTATATTAGACCTCCAAGGAAGTTGGGGAGTACATTTGCCATTGGTGGAATTTACCTACAACAACAGTTATCAAGCTAGCATTGGCATGGCGCCGTATGAAGCACTGTATGGAAGAAAGTGCAAGTCGCCAATATGTTGGACCGAGGTAGGAGACAAAGCTCTGCTTGGTCCCGAGTTAATTCAAGTAACAACCGAGAAGGTTAAGCTCGTTCAGCAAAGAATCAAAACCGCATAGAGACGACAGAAAAGTTATGTTGACCAGAGAAGAAGAGAGTTAGAATTTGAAGTCGGAGACCATGTGTTCCTAAAGATTTCGCCGATGAAAGGAGTTACAAGATTTGGGAAGAAGCGTAAGTTAGCACCCCGTTACATCGGGCCTTTTGAAGTTCTTGAGAAGGCTAACCTCGCTGCCTCCAGACTTGTTTTGCCGCCAGGATTGAGCCAAGTCCATAATGTGTTTCATATTTCGATGTTGAGGAAGTATATTCGAGATCCACTACATGTGATCGACTATTTCAGAATTGTAATTAATGAAGATTTAGGCTACGAAGAGAAGCCGATACGGATTGGCGATAGGCAAGTGAAGCAGTTGAAAAGTAAGTCAATACCAATGGTGAAAGTTGAATGGAATGAGCATTACGGTGAGGATGCTACATGGGAAATGGAAGAGGAAATGAAAGTCCGACATCCAGAATTATTTTTGGAACAAGGTAACTCAAGTATGAGGACCAAACTTCTTTAAGGGGGGTAGGATGTAACAACCCTCACTTCAACTTAGTCATACTTGCATACATTTATGTATGATCTTGCTTTGTTGTGTGCATTTGCATATCTTGTCTTGTTTTGCTTGAGTGTTGCTTGCATGCTTTGTTATTGCCTGGTGTGTTGCCGAGGTCATCTTAAGCCTAGACACCTTTGAACCTTTCCATACTTAGAACTATCTTGGAACCACTTCGGTTGACCTCCATCTTCATCCTGGCATATTGGCCGAGATGTCACCATCTAGGCTGAGGTACGTGTTACCTAGGCCGAGATGTGCATCATCTAGGTCGAGATGTTATTATCTAGGCGTTCTAGATCCCTGATCCTTGCACTTAGTGATTTTGTTCCTGGAATGGTACGACCTAGGCCGAGGTGTGGCACGTCTAGGCCAAGGTGTGGCACAGCTTAGTCAAGTGTTGTCCTTCCTAGCCAAGGTCATTGCCACCCTACTTGTCGAAGCTTTGCCCTTAGCCGAGATCATCACTTGCCGGAGTGCTCTTGCCGTCTAGCTTGTTGAACACACTTTGTCATGGTCTTGTCTTGTCAGTCAGTCGCCTTTTTGAGTAGAACCAATCAGCCGATGCCACGTGTCCCAGCAGAGGGTTAAGTCAGTGACTGTCGAGAGAAAAACATATCTTTTTGTATCAAATCTTGCCTTTTAGAGAGAGAGACTCTAGGAAGAAGAAGGTGAAGCCTTTGAGTAAGAGAGTGAACTTCCAAGCTTGATCGTGGGAGTTTGAACCGTTAGATTCGAGTTTTGAGGTTAGAATCTTAATCACCTCTTGTTGTTCTTATTGATCATCTAGCTGCATTGCACGATCAAACCTATTTTGCGCGTCATGCATTGATTTAAAGTTGGTTTTAGAAAGAGAGAATGGTTTTCATGTGTTCTTAAAGAAAAACCTTATTTGATCCGAAAGTTTGCATTAAGGTTCATGTTTTTGTGTTTGTTTTCATAAGATCTTCGAGTACAGGTCCATGATTTCGGATTGTTAGCATGAAATCTCAGATTTTGTAATAGCAAATTATGATATTTGCATTCATCTTCCTCATGTTCATGTTCTTCATGTTCGTCATGTTCTTCAAGAGAGGGAAACCCAGATTTTCCCGACTTCATTTCCCATCGAGGCCACACCTCGGCAAGGAGGTGTGGGACCTCGGCCTAGACCTGGTTGTTGCCCAGCATGTTTTCCCGAGATAAGAAACTGTGTTTTGTTTTGATTTGACTTAGTTTTTGAAGGATGCCAAGGTCATTTGCATGCATGCAAGACTTGTTTTGAGAAGTGCATTCAATAGACTTTGCCATGTGTTTGTAGGACTTGGACTTGCCTTGACCCCGACGTTTGAAGAACTATGTGAGTGGTATTTTTAATAAAGCTGTGTTATCAATGTTTTGATGAGCTTTGTTTTACTTTGTTTTGAAAAGTATTTGTTAAGCATGAATGATTGTCCCTATTTTGTATATCAAGCATTATCTTGTTTTGATGACCTTCTCGGAAAGTCCTTAGTGCCAGGGGACTATAATGCAACTGCACCTCTTGTTTTGAAAGTCCTTAGTGCCAGGGGACTATAATGCAACTGCACCTCTTGTTTTGAAAGTCCTTAGTGCCAGGGGACTATAATGCAACTGCACCTCTTGTTTTGAAAGTCCTTAGTGCCAGGGGACTATAATGCAACTGCACCTCTTGTTTTGAAAGTCCTTAGTGCCAGGGGACTATAATGCAACTGCACCTCTTGTTTTGAAAGTCCTTAGTGCCAGGGGACTATAATGCAACTGCACCTCTTGTTTTGAAAGTCCTTAGTGCCAGGGGACTATAATGCAACTGCACCTCTTGTTTTGAAAGTCCTTAGTGCCAGGGGACTATAATGCAACTGCACCTCTTGTTTTGAAAGTCCTTAGTGCCAGGGGACTATAATGCAACTGCACCTCTTGTTTTGAAAGTCCTTAGTGCCAGGGGACTATAATGCAACTGCACCTCTTGTTTTGAAAGTCCTTAGTGCGATGTAATAAGTACTTTACTTCATTTGTACTAAGTTGTAATCCATGTGAAGATGTTTGCCATTTCATTTGACTTACGCACAGCTCTTATGGACTAATCTGATTGTATGTGTTGCTTCTGTACTTGTGAGCCCCATATATTTATACTCTGTTGTGTGTGGATTTTGAAAATTAGCCTTCGGTAATCTCGGATTACTGGCCATCACGGCACCATCCTACTAGGGGCGGTTTGGGGTCGTGACATATAAAATAATGGAAGTTAGAGGTCATGACCAATGACCTTTTATAGAATCAAAAAGCACACAAAAAAAGTGGGGGAATATATTTCCTCTACTATACCCTTTTACGTGGAGCCATGCAACTTTTTCTTAATTATAAATAAATAAATAATGTATTATCAAAGGATGTAGAGGGCTTGGTCCCAACCCTTGCAAGCCTTCAAATCAAGCCAAAGTAATACATGATTATAAAAAGGCTTAAGTTTTTTGGTTTGATGTGGCTCTTTGGTTACTAGAATGTGGTTCAGTGATTTATGTCATTGCCTGGATTATTAGGTTGTTCTAAAAGTTGTTGCTAGAAGTTCTTAGGGGCTTGGTTCTACATTATTTTAGAAATTATATCGTTGGCGATTGATCAAAAAAACTTAAGAAAAATGTTTTAGTCAAATCTAACAGTATCATTTGTGGTGAATAGTGATAATACTCAAGTTATTTGGTGGAGCATTTTATTTGAATAATGTCCACCAATCTAGTTAAGAGTTACAACTTTGAGTGGTCAACATAGGAAATGAAACAAATAATTAAATCACCTTTCTGTTGGTCCTCATACATCCCATCAATGCAATAATTTTCAAACTACCCTCCCATTTATTTATGTTTGTGCATACTAATTTTGTGTAAATTATCGAGCTATGTAGAGATTTCAAAATGAATGAATGAATGAATGTCTTGCCGGACGGACTAATGAAAGTGTGTGTTTGTGTGAGATTCAAATCAAGTGAATTTCATGAACGTATTTAGATGGTTGATTCAAATCAAGTGAAATGATTTGTGAAACTCTTTGTCCTTCAAATGATGTTACTTCTTTATTTTGGCTTTTGAAATGTTAAATTGATCAGTTATGCAAAGTTTAAGTGGTTTCAATGTGAACACTCCATGTTGTGAATAAGCATTACATTGTTTGATGTTGGGACAGGATTTTCAAATTATGTTACTAAATTGTTTGATGTTGGAAACCTCTATTTATGAATTTAATTTGCAACAATGTTAGAGGGCCACAATTTTTGTGGTCACAATGGCTCAAAACAGTCAAAACGACGTCGTTTTGGGTGCAAAACATGCCAAAACGACGTCGTTTTGATAGTTTTGAACCATTATGACCACAAATATTGTGGCCCTCAAACATTTTCCTTTAATTTGCTTTGTCACCATATCTTTGGAATAATGAAATATTATCTTATTTGATTTTATGATATCTATGTAGCTTGCCTGACAGCATTTTGGTACTAGATTGAGAGTTTGGGAGCCACTTTTCTTTGTTTTCTTCGGAGATTGTTGCATCGGAATTCAAAAAAAATTAAAAAAGCAACATTTGTCATTTGTCATTATATATACGTTTTTGTTCTCTGTTGCATAATGAATGCTCAATGGAAGGCATGGCCAAGATTTAGTTATTTCACGATCATGTTTTACAATTATGGCTGTGCTATTTACCTGTTCTTTTCGTCCTCTCTCTTCTTCTTCTTCTTTTTTTTTTTTTTTTTTTTTAAATATGAAATTGTTGATCAAACCTTTGAAGAAATATTTTCATGATGTGTGGCCAGTTTTCCCGAAGCATGTGGTTTTCAGCAATTCTGTACATGCAGAGAAATTAATCTTCTAAATTGTTAGGGTTAGAGATGACTTCGAGTTACCCAATAAAAGAGAACATCTCATATTTAATTTTAACTAGTCGTGCTTTCTTGAATGGTTCAATAGTTAAATGACTAGTTATTATTATATTTTAACAAAGTTGCTCCAATTATACAAATGTTATTTCTTCTATTTTATCTCTAATATGTTCCCGTATTCCATTGAGGACCTTGTAGATCATCTTACTCTCAGGGTGGCTTATATCAGCTACCATAAACCTGTGCATGTCCCCTTTCACCTCCACACTGCTCCACCCTCCTTCCTTTCTGAGTTCCTCCAATTCCCTCACCTCCGCTCTTACCTTTGCCGCATCCTCCCACCTACCAACGCTTGCATACACATTAGACATTGCTACTCTCCAAACACTGCTATTCGGTTCCAACACAAAAAGTTTGCTCGCTGCTCTTTCAGCTATCTCAACATTACTAAAGAGAGCACAAGCACCTAACAGAACTCCCCACACATCCGGGCCTGGCTTCACTGCCATCTTCTCCACGAAAGCTTCTGCTTCCTTGAGTTTTCCCGACCTGCCCAAGAGATTAACCATACAAGCAACATGTTCCATTCTCGGATCAATTCCATAATCTCTGTTCATGCTGTCAAAAATTTCAAAACCTTCTTCTATCAATCCTGCATGCGCACAAGAAGAGAGAATGTTGACAAATGTAATCGCATTCGGTTGATAGATCCCTAATTTCTTCAGTTTGCTGAAAATTTGCAAAGCAGAGGCTCCATCTCCATTGATGCCATATGCTGCAATCAATGAATTCCAGGATCCCAGATCTCTTACAGGCATATCTTCAAAAACCTGCTCTGCAAAATCTAACCTTCCCGACTTTCCATACAAATCTATAAGAGAATTTTGAACCAAAATGTCTAGAATTAGGCCAGATCTCATTGTATATCCATGAATTACTTGACCAAGCCACAAGGATGCCAAATTTGAACATGCTTGAATCGATGCAAGCATTGTAATGAAATCAGGGTAAATGTTATCTTGTTCGCCATACGTGTGAATCTCACTAAGAAGCTTTAATACTTCACTGGATCGTTCACTCTTCCCAAGGCATGCCATCAAGGTGTTCCAAGTGATTATATCTTTGAAGCTCATCGTTCTAAATATTTGAAATGCAAAATCAAGTTTTCCACTTTCACCATACACGTCCATGAGAGAGTTCTCTACAATAGTGTTTGGAAAAAATCCATGTTTAATCAAGTACCCATGGATCTCTTCCCCAAGCATGAAAAAGCCAGAATGACCACAACCCTGAAGAAGGGTTGCCACGGTTTCAGAACTCAGATACAAAGCTTCACCGGTGAAACAGAAGTGGCAAAAAATTTCCATAGCTTCATTCAAGTACCCATTAACAGCATACATCTCAACTAAAGAATTCATCACAAGCCCATTTTGACACAATCCAGTCTTCATAACCAATCCGTGTATCCATTGAAAAACACGCCATTTCTTAATCTTAGAACATGCTTGTAAAATGCTTAAAATTGTTACCTCATTTGGTTCAACCCCATCTTCTTGCATCAAAAAGAACAATTCAAGAGCTCTCTTCATCATGCCATTGCCCACATGACCTGAAATTGCCGAAGTCCAAGAAACCACATCTCTGCAACTAAATCTCTCCAACACTTCTTCAACAGCCCCAAGAATCCCACATTTTGCGTACGCATCTATCAAAGAATTCTGGAAAAAATTATCATCATGAAACCCAAATTTTACCGCGAAACAGTGAATAACCTTTACAAGTTCCGGGTCACCTTTCTGGGCACAAGCTTGAAGCAGAACAGCTAGAGTAAATTCATTAGGAGGCAAACTTTCTAACATCTGATTAAAAAGGGATAGTACTTCATCGGCAAATCCTTTTTGGCAATAACAGGACATTATTGTGGTCCAGGACACAACTGTTCTGTTAGGCATATCGTCGAACACTTTTGAAGCATAGTCCATGTGCTCGCATTTTGTGTACATGTTGAGGAGAGAGTTGGTAATGGAGACATCGGTATGAAGCCCTGATTTCAAAATTTTGGCGTGAATGGAAGAACCAAGTTTCAAGTTCTTTGCAGTGGTGCAAATACGTATTGAAGATACTGTGTCGCTGAAAATGGCTTCATTAAGTGAGAGATGATGGAGTTTTGGGTTGTCATTATTAGTCTTGTGTGTGTCAACCTGAAAATCTTGGTTAGTATGGGTTTGGGAAGAAGATGAACTGAGGGAATGCTGGTGGAGAGAGTACATTTTGACCTAAGTTGAGGTGTCCTTGGCATCAGGAAAATGAAACAAGAGTCCCAAAAAAATTGCATAGAAACCAACCAAAATGTAAATAGTAGTGCCTATAAATCCTTTCATTGTTTTCCTCTTTTTGACATTGGAAAAAAATACAATGTATTTTATAAATTTAATATAAATATATTAAAAAATTTTAATATTTTAATTTATAATACTTTATCTTTTTTTATTAGAAATTCGTTCATAGTACGAATAAAAAATAATATTATTATGAACATGACTTCACAACAGATCAGATCGCTTTTTCAAGATTTTAGAAATTAAGATTATGTGAGAAAATAGAGAAACTTAACATGAGCACATAGAAAAACAATAAAATCGTACTCCGACGATTAATTCAGTCGACTATCTCTTAAAGATATCGGCTAAACAAATAATTCAAAAGTAAAAGCGTGCCTTAAACTTACACGATGCCTTCTTTATATAATAGTTAAGCCTTGTTTGGAATAAACTAAAATAAAATCAAAAAATCAAAAAGTTACTAGAAAAGTTAAGGGTAAATTACATTGACACCCCTAGAGATTTATGTTTATTACAGTTCCCCCCTCACCTTTTGAAAATTACATCCTCCGCCCCAAGGTTTAAAGTTTCATTACAGATTGCCTCATGAGGTTTAAAGTTTTATAACAGTTCCTCCCTCACCGTAATGATCATCATACATAAAATTAAATTAACAAAGGAGTCAGTGTAATTTCTCAAATGTGAGGGGGTGAACTATAATAAACATAAACCTCAAGGGGTATCAGTGTAATTTATTCAAAAGTTAAAAAGTCTATATTATTCAAGGGTAACTCATGGGGGAAGTCACGAGGACAAAATTATTATTTTGCCTTATGAATTCAACTACTCAAAAAGTCAAAAGGGTAAAATTGTCATTTTAATTTTACTACAATATTTTATCACATATTTTTTCTTAAAAAGTCAAAAAATTATCCCAAACATACATCTTTTTTCTTTACTTTCTTAATCAAAAAGTTAAAAAGTGCACTTATATAGCACATCTCAAACAACTACTAGTGTCAACTTTTCCCTAGAAATCTTATCCCTATATCAAAGATAATACTTATCTTGGACTCTTCCAATCCGAATTAAGATTAACTCTTTCTAGAATTTTCACTTATCCAAACAGAGACTTTGTCATGATCTAAAACTCTTTTTCCTCATCCAAACATCTCGAATCCGTGTGTGATCTGCTCATGCCTCGGTAAATAAGAACTATCCACATGGTACATCGATTAGTAACCTAGGTCATGTGAACAACTCAAAATTACGTCCTCACAATTATCATTTTTTTTTTCACATTATCATTGTCTTTATGCCATCTATATTTATTTTGATCTTTTAATCTTATTAAAAAAAAAAATCAACGTAATCATTTATAAATTTTTCTAAATTTCAAAGAAAATAAACTATAGTTCATCCTTTTTTTTCTTTAAAAAAAAATTTAAATATTTTTTCTGCTTTCATAACCATCCTAACTTCTTCTTTTTCCTTTTTTTTTTAATTTTTAAACAGCACCGGACTAATCCAAAAAATTAACCTCACCACTGGACTGACCCAAAAAAAATTAATCTCACCGTCCGGAGTCCAATTAAAGTTGAGAACTGACCCAAAAAATTATTTACATTTTGAATATTTCAAACCTAATTAATTTAATTAAATACTAATTTAAATATGTAATTTAAACAAAAAATACAGTCAATTATGATTTAAATAAATATGATTCAAACTCAAAATACAATTATTCTAATAACAATTTTGATTATTGCAAAAAAAAAAAATTTGCAGAGAAGAGAGGAGAGATTGTTCTATAGACATCATCCATCATGCCTCGTCAACATAAAATAGTATACAAGTGAGCAAGAGAGATTTTAAAAGCTAGGTCTCGTTCATCTACTATTAAGTTGTTCATAGATTATTATTACATTTGACAACGACCCAAGGACACCAAACAACAACAAAAAAACAAAAACCTTCAAAAAAACAACAAACAAAAGGGAGCTATTAACAAACGTCGCTTTGAACCGATCTCACATCACAGCAGAATTCAAGTTCTTCGTCTCTACGGCCAGTACCACATTTCTTACTAGTCAACTTCCTCCATCATGCTCTCTTCATTCCCCTCCTCTTCCAGTGGAGGCATATCAGCATCATCACCATCACCACCACTCACATTCTCATCAATGCTCAAACCCAACCTCAGCATCCTATGAATTCTAGCAGCAAATGTGCTTGGCTCATCAAGGCTGAACCCAGAAGTCAGAAGTGCAGTCTCATACAGCAGCATTACCAAATCCTTCACCGATTTGTCGTTCTTGTCAACCTCAGCCCTCTTCCTTAGCTCCTCCATTATCCCATTATCTGGGTTAATCTCCATTGTCTTCTTGCTCGACATGTAAGAGCTCATGCTATTGTCCCTCAAAGCCTGAGCCTTCATGATCCTCTCCATATTCGCAGTCCAACCATATTCTCCAGTCACCACACAGCAAGGGGAGTCCACAATTCTACCAGACACAACCACCTTCTCCACCCCGTCTCCTAAGATATCCTTTATCACTTTGCAGAGTGAATCGAAAGACTTCTTCTTTTCCTCCCTTTTCCTTTTCTCTTCCTCCGAGTCATCCTCTAGAGTCAATCCTTCCTTGGTTGCTGAAACCAGCTTCTTCCCATCATACTCCTTCAACTGACCAACAACGTACTCATCAATTGCATCAATCATGAAGAGCACTTCATAACCCTTTTTCTTTAGCTTTCCCAAGAACGGTGAGTTCTCAACAGCCTTTTTTCTCTCACCGGTAATGTAATAGATGTCCTTCTGCCCCTCCATCCTAGTGACATAGTCCGTCAAGCTTGTCATCTCATCGCCACTTTTTGTCGAATAGTAGCGGAGAAGATCAGCGAGCTTAGCCCTGTTCTGGCTGTCTTCATGAATACCCAACTTAAGGTTCTTGGAAAAAGCTTCATAGAACTTCTTGTAGTCCTCTTTGTTCTCTGCAATTTCATTGAACATCTCAATGCACTTCTTCACAAGATTCTTCCTGATCACCTTCAGGATCTTGTTCTGCTGAAGCGTTTCACGAGAAATGTTGAGAGGTAGGTCATCAGAGTCCACAACACCCTTGACAAATCCGAGGTACTCTGGGATGAGCTCTTCGCAATTGTCCATGATAAACACCCTCCGAACATAAAGCTTAATGTTGTTCATCTTTTTCCGCATGTCAAAGAGGTCAAATGGTGACCTTTTCGGTACAAAGAGGATGGCCTTGAATTCAAACTGACCCTCAACAGAGAAGTGTTTTACAGCAAGGTGCTCCTCCCAATCATTGGTCAGGCTCTTGTAGAATGCAGCATATTCCTCCTTGGTGACCTCTTCAGGTTTTCGCAGCCAAATAGGTTTCTGTTTGTTAATTAGCTCCCATTCGTGGGACACCTCCTTGATCTTCTTCTTCTTCTTCTTGGTGCTTTTCTCCTTCTCCTCATCGACTTCCTCAACATCACCTCCCTCTTCTTTCTTGATTTCCTCATCTTCGTCGTCACTAATTTCTTTCTCTGTTGTCTTCTCTGTCCAGAGGTAGATTGGGTAGCTGATGAACTCAGAGTGCTTCTTCACAAGTTCCTTCAACCTCCTCTCCTCCAAGTACTCCAACTGTGCATATAAAATGAAGTTACATCAATACCTAGTCTTCTTCTACCATTAAAGATCCTATGCTGTACCCATAATTTATCATTGGAAGTAATTGCAACAACATTCAACCAAACCCCAATCCATAATTAGAAGAATTGCAAAATTTTAAACAAAATCATATCACAGACAGACATCAAATTGCAAAACTCCAAATTAGGCCAAGCATCAAACCCAGATGAGATCCACTACCCAAATTATTTAAGGGAAATTACAAATCAGTGAAATTTAAAGTAATTACAAAGATATGGGAGGTGCAAATTGAGTCTATGTTGCCTTGCATGTAAAGCCACAATATTTTTACCATTATTTTTTTTCCCACCCATTATTTAACAATTATAGGGATGACAGTTAAACCTTGTTATGGGTTCAAGTCTAAGACAACATGCACTTCCCTCCCAAACACACATATTAATGTTTGTGTACTAATTAGGTGGTGGTGTTGTTTTTTTTTATTTTTTTATTTTTAAATTTAACAATTATCTTTTCAATTGAGTTCTAACTTCAAATTGAACAGAAATGGGTAACAATTCAAAGCCTCCACAAGTATTTTCTCATTGATTGCAAACCATTTAACCAAGACAGGCAAAACAACAAAATCAGAGTACAAAAGGTGATTGCATTTGTACTGTACCTGATCTTCCTTGAGGTAAAGTGTAACTTTGGTTCCTCTGCCCAGAGGCTCACCATCAACATCCCTCCTAACAGTGAAAGACCCACCAGCTTGAGACTCCCAAACGTACCGCTCATCATCATTATGCTTGGTGGTCACGACGACCCTGTCAGCCACAAGGTAAGCCGAGTAAAACCCTACACCGAACTGACCGATCATGCTGACATCAGACCCTGCTAGCAACGCCTCCATGAATTCCTTCGTCCCCGACCTCGCGATTGTCCCCAAATTATTCACCAAATCTAATAACAAATCAACCAAATTACATGAGAAACAAAAGAATTCAAAGCGAATACAAAAAAAAATAAGAAATTGATTTGATTTGATTGATAAGAACCTGCTTTAGTCATTCCGATACCGCTATCGATGATGGAGAGGGTTTTATTAACCTTGTCAGGGACGATCCTGATGAAGAGCTCGGGTTGAGAATCAAGCTTGCTTTTGTCGGTTAAGCTCTCGAATCGAATCTTATCCAATGCCTGAAACAAAACCCATCGAAGAATCAAAAACCTATATCACATATATAAATGATATAAATATATAAATACATGTTTGTTTGATACATACATCAGAGGCATTGCTGATGAGTTCACGGAGGAAGATCTCTTTGTTGCTGTAGAAAGTGTTGATGATGAGACTCAGGAGTTGGTTGATCTCCGCTTGGAAAGTGAAGGTCTCTGTTTCGCCCATGTGCACGTCCGCCATTGATTCTTATCACAAGAACTATGCAGCTATATGTATGCGTATATAAAGAGTAGAGAGTGAAGTGAGTGAAGGACTCTTGTTGATAGATGTGAGAGAGTGACGCTTGTTGTTTTATATGTGACAGGTAGAGAGAGGGGAGGGTTTTCTCCTCGGGTGTTCTTGAAGAGAAGTTATTAGTTGGTATCATAGGTAGCGTCGAATTGTATTGCGGTTAATGAAAAATTTATGATTTTATATTAATCTTTTGTTTGTTATAATTTAAAATAATTAAAAAATTACTATCCTATTTAAGTCATATTATCTTAGTTACGTCATATCAACTTTTTATCACATCATTTTAAATTTAACACATATTTTATAAAAAATCAAAAAGTACATTTATTTAGGCTAGTTTGGCATCTTCAAAAAAAAGTTAAAAAGTCACTATCCTATTTAAGTCATATCATCTTATTTAAATCACATCACCTCTGTACCACATCACTTGAAACTCAAACTATATTTTATAAAAAATTAAAAAATACACTTATTTAGTACATCACAAATAACTCCTTAGATCATCCCAAACCACTCCTAAATAATTAAAAAATAAAAAGAGATTAATATATTGTGATTGACGAGAGACATCGTAAAGTAATATTATGATTGATGAAAGAGATAAAATTTATAAATTTATATTAAATAATTAAAAAATAAAATAAAATGTAATATATTGTGATTGATGGGAGACATCATCAAATAATATTATGATTAATGAAAGTGATAAAATTTATAAATTTATATTAAATAATTAAAAAATAAAATAAAATGTATTATATTGTGATTGATGAGAAACAACAATGATTCATCCTTCTTTTCCTTCCACCCCTTTTGACCCCCTCTCTCTCACATTTATTACATTTTCTTTTTCTTTTTCTTTTTTTTTTTGATTCTCTAATCACCACCCATCACATGGCAAAGGGTGAGGGGCCAAGCATTATTCTGATGAGAAATACATCACATCTTGCTCCAGGGCACCACATAATTTTTCGTTCTGTGGGAAGAAAGCGGCGGGATGGTGTGAAAAGGGAGGTTATGGAATCGATTCATTTTCCCGCTTCCAGACTCTTCTACGTTACTGGTGCTTAAGTAAGCTTTTTGTTTTGTTTTTACCCGGTTTTTAACGAATATATAGGTAACGATTTGTAAAGCTTACATTTTATTTTTTTTTATGTTTATAAAAAATTTAAAAACTAATTTTTATTTTAAAAAATATATATATAAATTAGAAACGTATTTCGTTTAGACAAGATAATTAAAAAAATTTAAAAACATAAATTAAAAAATATGTTTATTAAGACTTAAAATGTTTATATTTATTAATTAACTAATAAAAAAATATACATATATATATAAGTTAATCTACAATCACGTGGATTAGTTGATGGAAACAAATATCTCATTATTAGAGCATCTCCAACGGTAGTAGGCATTTTACCTATCTAAATATTACTATAAAGTATATATTTTATTTTGCCTATCAACTGTTTTATGTTTTTACTCCAACTATGCTCTTTATTTTAGCTATTTATTCAAATACTATTAATTTTATAGAATGCCACGTCAACAACAAAGATGGAGGGAAATGATCCTAATGATTTAATACATTATGCCTAGCGTTGAAGGCTAGCTACATGTAGCTAGTGAATATGAGTTGAGCCAAAATGCCTAATCATATGCCTAGTGCATTGGAATTGAAAAAAGTGAATCACACTAGGCATTTTAACTAACAAGTATTATATGCCTAGTTATAATAATAATAATAATAATAATAATAATAACAATAATAATAATAATAATAAGGGGATCAGTAAAGTCAAAAATGAGAAGTTGCTGAAATAATTGAGAAAGACAAAAAGAGATAAAGAAAACCGATAGAGAGAGAGAGAGAGAGAGCCGAAAGGAAAGAAGAAAATAGGGAGAGTGAGAGAACACCAAGAGAGTGAGGATTCAATTTCCTTGATGAAGAAGGTCCTCTTTGTTGGAAACCGATAGAGAGAGAGAGCCGAAAGGAAAGAAGAAAATAGGGAGAGTGAGAGAACACCAAGAGAGTGAGGATTCAATTTCCTTGATGAAGAAGGTCCTCTTTGTTGGAAGTTGTAAGAAGATTCAAGTGTTGTTACACAGAGAGAGAGATAGGAAAGAACTGTTTGTAGAGAGAGAGAGGGGGAGAGAGTTGTCCAACGTCAATCGTGACTCCTCTAACGTCGATCCTCCCCCTCCGGCCTTAATCTGACGTCGAAACTTCTCCTCCGGCCTTGATCTTTCTCCTCCAACCTCAATCGTAACTCCCCCAACTTCAATCATGACTCTTTCGGCCTCGATTGACGGTACCCCTCTCCCTTTCTCTCTCTTTCTGGATTCTTTGAACAACAAAATAAAGGAAAAAGATGAGTAGAATTAGAGATAATGTATATATTACCAGTGTAGTGGGGAAATTGAAAAATGCTCCTCTGCAGATTCGAACCATGGCCTGTTACTGTAGCTCCACGTTTATTATAGCTCCGCGTTTTTGGGCTTTCGTTTTCTGTTTAAAAACCAACGTAAACTCATTTTTTGAGTTTACAATTTTTTCTTAAATTTACAAACTAAAAGACAATCGTTTATAAACCCAAAACATTTATCAAACAAGTTTTTATAATGTTTTTAAAATTTTTATAAATAAAAACTAAAAAGTGAAAATAAAACATTACCAAACAATCCCATAAAAATTAATTTAAAATTAAATAATAAAATATTATATATATTACTATAATGTTTTTGAATTAAATAATTATCAAGTCTATATCTTCTTCTTTTTTTCATTAATGATGCCACAGATTAATTGTATTCAACCATTTTTCTAGTTATCCTCACTTATTCGCTCGTTAACTTCTTCTACCTGGTTAAACTTTAACTCGACTTAGCTATCTTTATATATCCCTTTGTAAAATCATTATATTTTATCAAAAAATTTATTCTTACTACTATAATCAGTATATATAGGTCTTATTTGAGAATGATATATTCAACCAAAAAGTCAATATTTTTTATTTTTTTACACAATTTTTCCAAAAATAAAAATAAAACAAAAAATCACTGAAAAATTCAATTATCAAACAAACTCTTATTTTCACTACTTTTCTCTGTGTCAAATTTTTTCATTTGCTATATATTTCTTTAAAATAAAAAATAAATAAATAAAGATTTGCAACGAAACTAAAATATATATGGAAAACATAAAAATCCAGAATACCTTGTCATTTTGACTTTGTTGAATATTAAAATTCAAGTTACAATAAAGTCACTCTTATAATTAAATCATAACATTTTTATTTAGGGTAGGCTTCTCTCAAGTTTGAGATCGGACTGGAGTGTATTGTTGGATCCGTTGGGACCCACCTCGAGTCCAATTTTGATTATTTGAACCGTCAATGTATAGAACTTGTTGAGTACTTTATCTCTGTAAAAAATTACGTTGATCGGATATTGATAACTACTTGATCATATTAGATTTCTACTAACGGTAAATATAATTTTCAAAATAAATTATTGACAAAAATATGATTCGATCAAGTAGCTATCGATATCCGATCAACGTAATATTTTACAAGGATAAAGTACTCGATGAATTCTACATGTGTGGGGGGGCAAATATTCAAGCAAGCCCGCACTCCTTTCTTCCAAGCTCCTATCTGTCCGATCGACCTGTGAGCACAACGACGGTGAGCTACCCGGCGGTGTGTGGTCGGAAAACCCCTTCGACGATCAAGTTAGACACACACACAGGGATAGAGAGAAAGAGAGGACTGAGTTTTATTTAGTGTTTATCTCACCAAAAATGTTATCTGTCTAGTATGGGGGGTGCTGACTCACTTATATACCTTTTGCGCCCCAAATCTACTCATATTAGTCTCTCGACACGTGGTGATGCTATCCCATCTATCAGCATAAATCTTGCTGAACATCACCTAACCCAACTGCCAGCCCACTCTACTGGGAGCTCGGCAGCCGGATTGCAGCATCTCGGCTGCCAACGACCATGCCGCACTTCAAGCCCAAGTGTTCCAATAGCCAAGCTCATTGAGGACCGAGCTCGGTTGCATCCCGGCATAGCCGAGCTCAGGACAGCTCATACTAGTTTGTCACCGGCCTTCCTGCCGAGCTAACTCATGAACCATGGAACATCCACGCCTTGACTGGCGCCGGTCATCTCACTTGACTGGCTTCTACACCATGAAGCCACGTAGCTCGGTCCGACCATGCCTGGCCTGGCGCCGGACATCTCGCTTGACCGGCTTCTATACCATGAAGCCAAATAGCTCGATCCGACCACGCCTTGCCTTAACCGAGCAAAACCCTTCAGGATAGGCCCGTTTCACCGCGGCCCAAACTTGTTCGGCCCAAATCTGCCCGGCCATTACCACGGCCCAAACCAAACCATAAATCTCCCTCTCAATTGCCTCTTAATTCCGTCCGCCAAAGCATGACTGGGATTACCTGTTATGACCGGGGTAAACACTTCCTCGGTTCTTAGTTTTGTAAGAAGTCGACTGGGCTAATTTCTGCGCTCGATTCCTTGTCTTGCTCGGTCGACGCCTCATCTGACCTTCCTGTGTCTCGACTTGTTCGGTCGACGCCTCGTTTGACCTTCCTGTCTCTTCAGCTCTGACGCTGCCATTAATGGGGACACGTGTCGTGCGCTGATTGGCCTTGAGCCGCCAACAGTCACGTCCCTTCAATTCAAATTTTGGGCAGCCTTTCCACCCCTATAAACATGCCCCATCTCATTTCCTTTCATTCTTCCTGTCTCACCTCAAACCTTCAACGTTCTAGAGCTCAAAGCATCCCTAGCAAGCTTCACTCCTACCCTTTCTTGCACTCATGCTCGAAGAAGCAGTCCCCGCCCTCGACTGGTAAGTCCTTCAACTCTTCTTATTATCATTTCATTTGATATTTCTCCTTTTAGGGCACCAAATCCGTAGGTTTTAGGACATAACCCTCCCAAAACCCACATTTGCCCCTATTCTCTTCGTTGTTCTTCAATCCCAGTGATGAACACATGAATACACGAAGAACTGGGGCGGACCGGGCTCCAGGTCACCTTTTGATCCCAAAATACAATAAGACCAAGCAATTTACTAGCTTATCAAAACCTTTAGTA